GTAATCATTATAACATAAAATCAAAATAATAATCTTACTTTAAACTACATAATAATTTTTAACAGAATTGTGAGAAAGATGTAAAGAAGAGTAAAATGTAAGATTTCAACATTAGTTGGGCATGAAAAGAGGATTTTGACGATGGAAGGATGTTGAAATTAACAGAGTAAGGAAAGAAAATAACATCAAACAATTTTTGTTATAAAACTTTATTGCAATTTATATCTTTTTATATAATAAATATTCAGTGGTAACCTCCAATTATTTTAATTTCCTCTCTTCTTGTAAATAAACCATAGGTGAAGTTTGATGATAATCAGAGCTGTTTTAATTAAAAACCTTTGTATAGCTTGGGTCTAGGTTCACATTCATTGGAAGGGGTATGCATGTTTAAAACACATTAATATAAAAATTTAATTTAGGAAAACATTTTGTTTTAAAAATCAACAACGTTAGGGGGTAATATGATCCAAATTTACTTGTTAGATTAAATTTCAACATTTCTGTTTCTGCAGAAAGCATTGGTAATATATTTTTAAGATTACATTGCCAGAATGTAAAATATGACCAATCAAACAATTGAATCAGTCGAAACAGAAACATTACATGTGACAAAATCATGATTTTGAGGAGAAAAAATATTAAAAAATAAATACATACAAAAAAAAGAAACTGTATTACTGTCTATTTGAACTTTCACTAGCTTTTATATCAGTGAGCCATGAAGAGGGGACTACTTGATGTGTGCTTTCACTTAATAGTATATTTTTAAACATTTTTGATTTTACTTAAGGGTGAAAAAAGTTTTAAATGTACTCTTTCTGCACTGAATTTTTTAACTATCAAATATCTTTGAAAGATTATAAATGTGAAAATATTGATTACTTTTGGAGAGTGCATGTGTAAAAGAAGATAAGTCAAGTTTTTGTCCAAAATGAGTATGCTAGGATATTGTTTCATTATAATACTATCATTGGGTGTAGAGGGATAAGTGACATTTCAATTTTGCCATTAAATATTAATGGCATAATAGAAATGTCACTTATCCCCCCAAACACAATAACAGTATCGCAGTAAAAATATGTCCTGGCATACTCATTTTGGACAAAAATTTGACTTAACCCCGTTTACCTGCGCACCCACCTTTTATATTTTACTACTAGAAATAACAGTATTTTGAAACAAGAACATTAAACAAATTTTAAATACAAGAAAACTGAAGAGAAATAAACTTAATTTTAGACAATTATGTAAGTCTTAATGTAAAAATTGAATGTTCAAAGTTATAGCCTACTTATGAAATGAATAACTACGAAAGTACTCTTTCCAAAACTCATCAGAATAAATATCAGCTTCTAATGTCCATCACCCCCTTTTTCGTTACACTGAACTTCGTTTCATTGACTTGTTGCTCATCTTTACATTTCATCATATACATCTCTAGGCTTGTTTATCTTTAAGCTTATCATCCTCAGCTTGTAGCTCATCATTTTTAAGCTTTGCTATGCTTACTTTTTGAGATTGTTTGGTAACCTTCCTCTTAGGCATGCTGAATCTTGTGGCAGAGAAAGAATGGTAAATTGTGCTGCAAGTGTGGATGTGAATGGTGAATCCTTACCAATTGATCAACTGACAAAAACTTTCCCTTGGCTACAGGCAAAATACTTATAGCTGGAACTTTGAATCTTTCCTTTTGCCACATGATATCTATTCACAATTTGATTCATTACTAAAGCATATTTTCTTATATTTTATTAGCCACCACAGTATTAAGGATAAAATATCTTCTGTATGATTTATTGTAAATCTGATTACACTTGCTCTTAAAATAAGCTTATTCTATTGGAAAGTACACATCTGATCTTCTCTCTGAATATATATATGGAAACATCATGCAGCCAAAGTGCATGCTTAAATGCTGCCATTTTCAAATGACCTTTGTTCATTTCATTCATTGCACGAAAGGGAGATGTGGTAAACAAGTATCCTTTCTGCACTTCCCAAAATTATGATTAAAATCATTGGTTTAGAAACTTTATTCATATAACCTTTCAGTATTGAAAGATGCATCTATCAGATTGCTACGCATAAGGATTCAATCCCAACACAAAATCACAAAAAATGATCGCATGTACGGTTTATGTTTTAACTAATTCAATTTATAGGTCTTAAAAACATTTTGGAGAACAGTAGTTCAGTAGTTTCTAATGAGACCACATTCTAGCTTATATTTTTAATAACTTGGGAATATTCTACATACAGTAAAACCCCGTTTTTACGTTCCCGCATTTTACGTTTTCCTGCCTTTTAGGTAAATTTTCCGTTGGTCCCGTTGAAAAGCCTATATTTACAATGCATTCTCTTCCCGCAATTTACAACGTGATATGAAGAGTGCTTCCCGTCTTTTTTGAAATTTTATTTTATTTTTTTACTTTCTCGTATACGGACGTTTTATACCTAGTGCTGAGAAAGTTATGTAATGCTGCGGCAAAAAACGGCGATTTTTCGACAGAAACACTCGTACTGATACAGAAAAAGTGGATAAATCCTGTTCCAATATGTAATAAATTACTACATATGTATGTAACGAACTCGCAAAAGCCTCGCGTTCGTTCAGATCAAACGAGGAATATCAATTTTGGAGAAAATCGGTAGGCGGTTTAGACGCTCGCCTTGACCACAGACGGGCAAACATACGTTTTCAGCCGGAAAAACCGCCGTCAATCGATTTCGAGGTTTCAAGGACCCATAAAACAGTAATTCAGGTTACACCACGTGTTAGAGGAAGTAATTTACTATTTATAGGAATATGATTTATCCTCTTTTTCATTACCAGGTCACGTCAATGGGACAATTTTCTGACGAAAATCGCCGATTCCGGCGTATGCTTTTATTCTCTCTTCTTACGAAGGGCGAGAATGTGAAAGCAGAGTAACCATTGCAGTAAATAATGAAAGTACTCGCCTAGTATATCGTTTTTCAACTTTCCTGAATTTTGCACTTTTTTTTTCATCAGTCCTCTGAAAAGTGTAAAAGAGGGGTTTTACTGTACCATGAAATGTACATTCATATTACTTAATGATGGTCTTCTATAAATTTACTTTTCTGAAACCCAGAAAGTATTAATTAAGTGATTCACTTATTAGTTTAAATCTAGAATTGATAGTTTCTTGAAATAACAAAAAATATTGTCCAAATATCATTTATTTGAAACTTGCAAAAGAAAAAGAAATTTAGAAGCCAGTGAGCCGACTTAATTCTTTAAGCAGATCTGATAAAAACGTTATGAATGCAAATTCAGTATGCCAAATAGTTTTACAATGTTTGTCACATCTCGCTGAATGCCCCCTAAATCAAGAAAATTTCAATTCTCACAAAACTTTTGTTTCTTCGACTTATAATGTATATAAAATTAAAAAAAAAAATTGTATGGTTTAAAGAAGAGTACAGTGCATGTTAAAATTTCTTTATACAGTAGAACCTCTTAAATTTTACTTATTTTAATTTAATTTCAAAGACAGGAAACTTTTTGTTCATGAACCAGCAAATAGAAATAACATGCACATTTTGGTAAACTGCTTGAGAAGTGTTGAGTAAAGAAAATACAATGTCTGGATTAATTTGGTCTACAAAAGCCTATGACCACATCAATCATAATATTTGCTTTTTCACAAAGTTACTTCATCCAATTTTGACTTGCTTCAGTACACTTTACATGTTATTTGCCTCTAATTTGTCTCCTTTTAAAATTTGAATTGAGTCTAAATTTTAGGATAAAGAATAGAGATTCTGAACAAAGCAGGGAAAATCAGAATATTCATAGACAGAGAAGGACTGTAGTTAATAAATTTCATAAATCAAACTCCAATAACTAAAATAAAAATAATTTATCATTGACATGATTATGACACAATATTCTCAATTGCTGGTAATGAAATTCAACACATTATAGCCATCATGAAAATTTGAATCTCCAGTAATATTGTACAATTTCTATGTACTCTGTCACTCATGGCCATAAGTCAGTTTTCATTATGATACAATTATCAGCAACAATAGAGATAATTATTAAACCCAGGCAATGAGCTGACAATTTATAAATAATATACATTAGTTGTATGCTTCCAAATTGTCATAAAGCATATTTACCAAAGTATTATACTCGTTAATTGTCAAGTGAACAATTACGTTTAATGGAAATCTTGACACTGCATTTGGATTGAAGATAAATCCTGCAAGACTAAAATTTGAAATCTTTATTGTTTACTAGTAAATAATTTGATAAAAAACAAAATATCATATGAACTTATTGGATAGGACCATACACAATAGCCACAAGCCAGAAAAACAAAGTTAAAAAATATTACCTGGATCTTTTCATACAACAATTCGTCCTGAAACAAAAGTTTTGTGAAATTATATCCTCAAATACCTCATAATAATTCATTTTAATTATCTTGTAACCAAATGACAAACAGTTTCTCACCATTCTGTCTTCCAATACATTCATGTTGTAACAAACTTTCTTCACTGTGCTGGAAAGATGGATGTGAATTGATGTATATGGTCATTAGACCACAGACCGTAATCAGCGATGAAAATGGTTGGTTCTAACTACAATAAGTGTATTCGCATTTTGGTGCTCTCTTCAAGAATGGTTTAATTGTGTTAAATTGATGAGATTGATAACTTGACATGCCAAAGTTCAACTAGAAATAGTTCAACACATGTTCGGTGCTGTACAGTTTGAACAAGTTGTAAGACGCAGCACTATTCCCTTCAACCTGCAACATTCCTTTTTCACCTTGTAAATTTTAATTTTGCTTTCAAAATGAAAAAGAATTAAAATTAAATGAGAAAAAAGAAACAAAATAAATTAACTAAAAAAAAATATAGTCATTGTATTTTCATTGCTGATTACTGCTTTGGTGAGGTTAAAAAAAATGTTTTCATACAGACACAATTCACTGAACTTATGAATGAAAAAATTAAATTTTTCTGCTTACTACACAAATCTTTATTTCATTTTGATTTCACTGTTTTATTTTTCTTTTAACTGAAGTAATTAATAATTTCCATAATAATTTTTTTTCTTTGGCACATTCTATTTTTATTCCATTTTTATATTAATATATTTTATTCAATTGTTCAGAAAGATAAATGCTTGAGAAGAAAAGAATCTTTAATTGTTGTAGCATGAAAAATATTATCTGTCCCACCATACACTTTCTATGAACTTTTAAACTTTATTTTGTTTAAAATAAAAATAATTGAATGAATTATTGGACTTGCATCATTAGCCATTAACACATAACCGATAACAATAACACCATCAAAAATGCAGCCAATAAGTTACAAGAGCATTGGGGACATAAAAAATAACACAATTCTGGCATTAGAAATAAAAGGGTGGTGATTTCATTGTATATAGAAATTGTTATTTATGTACCAAAGTCAAATTTTTTTTTTTCTGAAGAATGGTATGCCAATTGGTGCATAGCATAGTAGAGCCAAAAGCGGTGGAAAAGAGAGTTCAAAAAGCTTTTTGTGTGAATATTTTGTGTGTATTTTTTGCATACTTACATCTATTGTATTTTTATAATAACGATGTATTTTAAATTTTAATGTTTTCAGAAATTATATTCTTGTGGAAGTAATTTATATTAATGTATCAGCTTAAAAACATCGAAGAATAGTTGTGTAATATCAAAAAACCAAGATAGTAAAGTAAACAGCTACATTTAATGTTGTACAGAAACATGTACTTAATTTCAAAATTTCAATATAAACTTTACTTGAATATCTTGTATTAAAAAACTAATTGCCTCCCCGTCTTTGTTAGAAGAAGTTTGCGTTGTTTCATTTGGTGCTTATATTTTTAACAGTCCTAGGCAGATATTATTTTAATGGACTTATTTGAAAAAATGCTACTTTGGGACATTAATCTACCACAAAATTCAATTTTAAAAGTGGGTGTATAAGAATTATTTCAGGATTATAGACTTCTTAGTTATTTTCGAATGCATTCAAAGCAATTCAAAGTGTGCACTGTATCATAGGTGAAACATTCATGAGATAAAAGAGTTTTCAGAATTCAATGTCCATTCCAAGAACTTCATCTTCCAATATTGCCATTATCATGCATGCAATTTTAGAGTACAAAAACACAAGTCAAGAAAACAGAAGAATGAGTAAAAGGAAAAAGTGTGTATTGCACAAAGCCAAATTTTTTTCAATGAGCAAGTTGGAAGCGCAAAAGTTTATAAATGTATGAGAGAAACTTGCATAGTATTTATCTTTCAATCAATATTTCCGTTAGTAGTACGAAAAATAATTAAAACTAACTATTTTTAGATAAATATTTCAGGCCACTCCACATTTAGAAATTTGATATATAAAAATTGTCATTTAGCATTTATTACGGAAGAAATTATGTTAGTGCCATTACATAATTAATTAAAATTTTTTGTACATAGAGCAGTATAAATGATAGCACATCTTAAGAATTATTTTCAATTAACGTGTCACAAATATAACTAGATATAGTTTATTAAAGAATATTTAGTTGTTTATTAACATAACACATTGATTAACCAAATACTTACTTTTAAAGATATTTTATAAATAACTTTGATAAACATCCGCTTACTCTAATAAAGTAATTAATCAGTCTTTCAAATATACGTTGTCTCGATGTCTTTTAATTCGTTACGATCAATTGAGTAAATTCGATAAATAGAATAGGAATGGAGTGCGAAGAAATTTATTTCATCATTATAAAGTGTATTTATTTCAGAGCAAAATTATTTGGAGTCAGTATTATAGCAGTTTTATATAATATTACAGGAATACTGGATAAATTACTGGCCAATACAAACATGCTATGAAAACATCTTTTGCCAATGATGGAAATATTTCATTTTTATTCGCACTCCATTTTAATTCAATCCATTAGATTGAATGAGACACATTATATCTATATAATTATTTAAGATGGAAAGTAAATCATACTGTGTCGAATGTTGCTGTGATGATAGGTGGGATGAAATTGAGTAGATCTATCATCAACTCGACTATCAGAATCTGACCCCAAGGAGTCGTACTCTTCTGTGTCTGATCGCATTGCAGTAGCATGCGCATATTCTGCCGGCTGCTCCTTAAAAACAGGAATTATGGATTAAAATACTTAGTAAAAAATAAGTGCAATTAAGTAAATATTATTGCGACTATACCTCTCTGGATGCATAGCTATCAACATCTAAAAGTCCGGAACCTTGATACACGAATGTTTGAAATCCTCGTTGACTTGAGACTTGGGGAACTGGTTTTTGGGCTTGAAAAGTCGCATATGGATAAATGTCTTCCACATATTCTGAAATAAAAGAAACCAAAATTTGTAATTGTAAAAAGAAAAGAAAAAGTGGAAAAATGATGTGATCACTGCAGAGCCTACAGAGTGTTCCAAACCTTCTGGGCTTTATATCGAGTGGGTGGCTGAGGGTACAGAGGTTCTGAAGACTGAATCATTTCAGTGTTACACTTTATTATTCTAAATAGGAATAGCTGAATAAATGAGTGTTGAATTACAATGTAATAAAATACAACACTGTATTATACCATTCTCCTAGCATGTGACATTCTTTGATGACTTCTATTGCAGTGTTTATGGCCTTAAGATGTCATATACTTTGAGTGGCAACCTTCACAACTTGAGGAAATAGATACTGACTTCACAGGGGAAAAGACTCAATTTGAGACACTATCAAGCACTGGCCTTCTAGATACAGTTCATTGATGAAACCTGTTTGATGAAACCTTTGACCCCTTCTACACATTTTCTGCACTTGTGCAGTTTTTCTGAAACATTCTGTGACTCTAATATTGAAGGATCAAACGTGATTATTCCTTATCCTGGCAAGAAAAGATCTATTCGAGGAAAAGTATTTAGTGATAAATTATTTGCTATTGTGGAATAAAATAGGAAATGATAAAAGTTTAGTTGCTTCCATCACTAACAGTGTTTAAGGAAAACTAGAAATTAAAAGCTGTATTTTTATTATACTTACCAGGTATCCTCCCAGAATTCTCACAGGTGGGCGGGGGAGGAATTTCAGGTTTCTTGCGAAGGGCGCTAAAATAATCGGGTTTGTTAAGAAAATTACCCCCATCAGAAGCGACTGGTAATTCTGTACTTGGACAAGAAACTGGCTCTGCACAGAAATACACTCAATGAATACAAATAATCACATACTTTCACATTTTATTGTAATGTCATAATTTTAGCAACACATCAACAAAAATTTTCATTAAGGAGCACATAGGTACCCAAAACTTTAATATCAAAAAAATAAAAGTATCCTGTATTCAGTTGCGAATCCAGGGGGCAGTAAGGCCTTGACCCTCCCTCCAAGTATTTTTGTTGTTGAAATTTTTCTCAATTTATTAAAAAATGATTACCATATAGATCGCATTACATCCAAAACAGTATTGGATATACTGAATATACTCGTACATTTTTATTTCATGCTAACTAATAAAAAAAAATTAAAAAAAATATTTATGGCGGTCTGAACTGCAATTGGCCCCGTTGAAATATTTGCTGGATCCGCCACTGCCCGCACATAATTCCTGTAACTCACTTCGCCGGAGGCACGCTGCGGCCGTGACCAGGGTCAGCACAAGAGCCAAAGCGCTCACGGCGATGGGCAGGCTCACGCGCAAGTCCGACAGCACAGGTTGCTCCACAGGGCCAGGATCAGAGTCCACTCCGAGGGTCGGGACATGCATGTCTACGATACATTAAACAGAAATTGTGAGACCAAACAACTTGCACTTGCAGAATGTCAGAAATAGAGTTCAGTCTAATTATTCATAATGTGGGATATTGCCACACGGAGCATGAGACAATAAGAATGTTTGGTTTGTTCAGTGCATAACCTAACAGCCCTGATGAAGGTCGAAACGTCGGCAATATAAAGTGAGTTTTTCTGTGTATTGAGAAAAGCCCAAGAACCACACGCCATAATTCCAACGGGTCACGAATCACTTGATATAAAGAACATACAACGTGTGGAGGTTTAAGACAACAGTTTACACGTCTTCGTTTTCCTTCTTTCGAGAAAATAAGGGAAAATGTATCGCGTAATGTATTAACGCGTTTCAATTAAGCAGTATTATTTACAAAATATTAGAACTGTGAAAGAAGCTGTCTTTAGAGTTGAACTAGTTTTTAATTGTGTGTTATTTTTATGCATTGCAGAGAACCACTCCCGTTTCACTAACCATTTCCACGAAAAATTAACCGAGAAGTTATAAAGCAGCCGAATTGTGTAAATTGGGTGCTTCTTTATTTCAGGATTAATTTTTCTTTTTTAAAAAAATATATTAATTTTTTTGTAAATAATAAAGAATTCAAATGTTTCTGAAGTGTTTTTATGCTTCTTCAATGCAAATTGTTTCCTAGAAAGCATTTTTTAAAACCAATTATTGAGTGCTTATTTCGGCACAACCATTTGGAATATTTCAGTAGTTTATTAGACAAAAATTGTCCGAAGAGCTTATTTGCGAAGTTTCGACGTTTCCTCCTCGGACACCCGTTTACACTAATGACCTGCAACACCAAAAAATATTGGTTTCCCCAAAAGTAGCACGCACACTGCTCAAGAACCACAAATAAAATTCTCTCGTATGGCAAAGCAATAAATTGAAACGTTTGAAAGATCTATCTTCACGAATACTGCCTTAACACGGTATAGTGTATACACAGTACAACGAAAAAAATATCAAAAACGTTGTTTCATATCATATAATATGTTAAAAGCAATTATTTAATGGCAGCCGTCCTCTTTCTTAGAGCCTTGCTGTTGCATGACAGCTACGTCGAAAGCAATGACGCACTGAGAATGAGTATTCAGTCGGTACGAACAGATGAAATTTGGCGGAATAACACAATAAAAAATTTGCATTTTTCGGTGAAAATCAAAACTGTGTCATTGTTTTTGAATTTTCTTCATGTTCCTCGATATCTAACTAAACCACAGACATGGTCGAAGGCTGCATAGTTATCTTTCAATTTCCACGGGCACTGGAAACTAGTAATGTAGATATTTGTAGAAAATCAATGTATACTGTAAAAACAATAGGAACCAATACAATTGCAACGAAAAGAATTATTCAACACAGAGCCACGTTGCATCAGTATCTTATATTTACCTTCTGTGTCAAAGCAGAATTACTTACCTCCTTTTACAGTGAGTGTGGACACTTTAAATTCGGTGACAACAGATCCACGGTTGTTAAATGCAGTAACTCGAATCCAATAAAAAGTAGCTGGAGAAAGCTCTGACAGCATGTAGCTGCTTCCTGGAGGCGCATGATCGGTCACTGTAAATAACAAACAAGCATTAACGGTAATTCCTTGAAGATTTATGGCGTAGACAAATGGAGGAACTAGTACGATTGCGTACATAGTTGCGATTTTTTTCATAGACTAGAGGGTCCTAGGTTTCTTGACCGTAGTAGACTTTTTTTTAGATATACTTATCATTTGGGTCGAAACTAACCACTGCCTACATGAGATCTCTAGAGCCATTCCCAAACGGCCTACTGGGCGTGATATTTTAGAACGTTCTTTGGCGGAACAGCCAGAACACGGATGTCAGGACAAAAACCTACTAGTGTTATAGCGAGGTGAACCATGGCACGTACAGTAGCCAACATGGCGCACACCGCTGCGGAAACAGCTGTGTGCAGGGTTGTTTAGTCGTATTAGAAAGTAAAAATTATTATGTTGGGTTTATTTAAGGGATATTAGTATGTGAATTTCATGTGACTTACATCATCATTACTTTCAATACATTGGATATTAGGTATTTATTATAATTATTATATTGAGATGTAACTGATATGCGTGGGTCCTATGGGGTTCGCGACCACATACGATTTAAATTTTCTCGCAAATCAGGGCGTGTTCAGGAACCTCAGTGTCGGCCGACCGGCTAGTTCGGGGAGGCCTTCTACGTCACGAAAAGGTGGGTAGACTTGAGGAGCGGACGAGACAAATTCCTCTTTCTTCTGAAATCTGCAGGCGGTCGAGGGTGGAGGCGCGTTATACTGGAGAGCAAGGATCGTAGTCATACGTTGCGAGGCGCTCAACAAGTGTTTTATACGTAGTGTGACAAAAACCTGAAGCAGTAAAAAAAATCGCCAATAAGTAGGCTACGAGACTAGAATATTTTAGTGAAAGGAACTCTAAACTGCAGGTTGTGGTGAATTCAGTAAACGTTTTCTTAAAATTACGAAGGACAGACTGAGAACGAGCAAGATATTGCGTGGCAGAACTTTTTAATCTATCTGTTATGTGCTCGCATATCTGTTAGGTGACGTTTGTTCCTATATTTGCAAAAGAAAAGTGTTAGAAAATCGAGAGACCACTCCAGTGAAGGAACTATTTTGTTCAATAGAGCGCAGGAACTGTTACAATTGGAACGACGGTCACAATCACGAACACCAAATTCGTGAGAGAAAGCGTGTGAACGGGTGAAAATTCGAGGAAGATCTGGTGGACCGAGGAAGCCGGACGACTGGCTGAGGCAGAAGAATAAAAATCCGGACTGCGAGTGGAGAGAGCTACACAAGAGGACTTTTGGAGGCGTAGAACGGCCGCCGACCTTGTCCGTTTGGCAGCCAGCGGTGCGCTTTAGATGGCGCGACGGCGTTGCTGCGAGCGATTCGACCTTCGCTGGGAGGAGAGGGGCGAAGCCGACCTCAGCAGAACGTTCAGTGTTTCTGAATTTGTTTTCTGTGCGTCGCGTGAAAACGCTGGGAAAGTGATAGTTTCGGAAGCTTATGTGGAAACTATACTGCAGCATATTGAAGCCAAAATTGAATGTAATTGAACAAATTTCTATTATTGCTAAATAGATTGGTTAACTGAGAGATAACAGATGAATGATGACGACCGTGAACCTTTTAAAAAGAAAAAATGTATATATTAGAATAAGAACTTATTTTGGAGGAAAAAATCATGTATCTAGTGTAATTGTGAAAGGGGATGTAACTGTCAATTTTTTGCTAAAGTGTCTGCAATGCTTAATTAGAGGGCCCGTTTAATGTATACAGCGTAGTCAAGTGTTAAAATATTGCCTGTAATTATCGTATGGGATCCCATTAGGAAAGGTAACAATAGAATTAATAGTCAAATGGTGAACGAATAATACCACAGTTGAAAACAATTTTTGATTGAGTACTAAAGCAAAGTAATTATTTGTCAAGAGTAATGATCAATCGAAGTGTAATTTTTTTTATGATTAACGAAGAGTGTTTTAGTCTCGCCAGTCTGGGCTAGGGAGGGTATACAATTTCCACAGAATGTATTTCATTTCCTGTCTAAATAGATGAAAAAGGTAAAAAAATCCGTTATGTTATGTCACTACTACTTTCCGGTTTGGGCAATAAGAACCTGCAAAACGGATCTCGTTTTTCCTCCCATTTTACGGGAACTCTCAGGTCATCCGGGGTACTTCCTTATGTATTGAAGATCTCGTCGCGGGTACGTCTCCGTTGTGTATTTATTCCATATTTATTCTGCTGGTATGGAAACCTTCTCCACCTCGGTTACCTGAGATAGCCCGAAGATCCGTCACGGCCAATTTTTTGGCTACGTACTAATATCATAGTATATGAAACAACTGTCGATACTTGAAGGTCTTTCTTGCGTAAAAAAATAAAATGAAGTATATTAATAATAGTAATAATAATTATTATTATTATAATATAACAATATATTATTATAATATAACAATATATTATTATAATATAACAATATATTATTATAATATAACAAATAATAATAATGATAACAAAAATAATTCGAGCATTATTTGAAGTACGCAGTACTGAAACGTCAAATGAATGAAAACTTTTCATTTTCCGATATTGGAATTCCGTCTTTTAACAGTGTTTGGTTGAGAAATATTTGATTTTAAATGACAATGACAAAATATTGCGAGATATTTCAAACGATATTTCAGTTCCATATATTGATTTATGACTCGCGAAATATGGAATAATGGAAACCAATATTAGAGTGCAGTAGTTGCGGATCTACTGGGATTGTAACGTCATTCACTACTGACATAACAGATTTATTAAGCAAAAATTATAGCAGTTAACAGACAGCTTTCGGTGAAGCAGCAAATAATAGAAAACGAACATAGAAAATAATTTGTCTCCAAGTTCTTTGACGACCAGACCGTGGGAACTAGTCTCACGGCAGCGACTGCCATCGCAAGTGCCCTCCGACCGCCATCGGAACCAGACGTTCCAACGAAGTGGTGCCGAACAATTGTGTACGAGGAAAGACCCCACTAGCAATCGCATGAGGAAATATCATACTAATTGCGCACAAAAATAAAAGACGTTATTCAATGGCGAACTACACAGACGTGTAAAGTATAAGTGGATTATTAGATTGTAAATGAACGGATGAAGAACGTATAAAGTCTAACAAAACTGTGGATAAGTTGTTCCCTATAATAAAGTATTTAAAATATGGAGAACTGTATATTATAGTGTAAGAGGGAGGCATCGTAAATTAGGTATAAGGGTAGAATTTTAAGTTTATATAATTAAAAGTGATCGAGTTAATGCGGGGTTCTAATTACTTACTAACAATTACTTTCCAGGGATTCCGGCAACCTCTCCCGGCAAGCCATCAAGTCAGAACTGTGTGAAAGCGCATATATATTTTACAGATTGCTATATACTCGGTCGTCTAAATATTCGGTCGTTGGTCGGAAGTCAGCGACAAAAAACACCAAAAACCGGCCACTCGAAACCTTAATCAACCCCAATCAGGCTTAACTTCCACCCTGCCCCCCTCCAATATGGATAGGAACGACACGTGGATCTCGGGAACGTAGTAATACCAGTTGTCCAATGGCGATCTGCTCCCGACTCCGTGGTGCGCTCCAGAACGAAGTGGGAGATGGGGCAATGGGCGTCCCTCCACCGCTCGAGATGGACGGTGAGGGAGCGAGGAGCGGCGCTGATGGCCAGGCGAGGCGACGGGGCTTCTGGCAGGCCGCCTCGGGTGCGCGCGCGGATGGTATGACCCAGCTCTCCTCGCCCGACCTGAAACGGAACGGAATTTCATCACATGGCCACACATGAAGAGCGTATTTCCAAGGTAACGAATCTTTAGTGGTTGGTAGTGATTCCGGGCACGTCAACTAGATCACCAAGGTCAACAAGGTCATTAGTCCCGTACGTTTAGTGCATGTTTTTTCCTCGGGAGGTGGTCGTCTTCCCCCGCTGGATGGCGAAATCCGCCTACCGTCGGCTACCGGGGTTTTCTCCTACCAGGTGTCTTCCACCAACGGGGCACCGCCCCAGCCGGGACAAGCTCTAAGCTCCTGACCGGTCTCCCGGCATGTGTGGTAGTGTAGTGTATGTTAGTTTAATTGTAAATACAGGGCGAGGACAGGACAAAGAAGAGGAAGAAAAGGCGGTCCGTGACCCATTTGTTAGGGTGCTGCTTCGGCATGCGCCTGGTGTTGATCGGAGAAACCACGGAAAACTACCGATCAGAGCAGCCGGCCACTAGAATTCTCCTCCAGACAGCGACTGAATTTGACCTAGCTGGCCACCTAGTGTCGAAAATTCTGCCACCGTCGGGACTCGAACATAGAACCTCCCGGACAGAGGTACTGCAGTGACATCAGTTGATGTCCTGAACAACCTCTCCCGGTACGTTTCTCTAAGAAACAGTTTATCAGCTAATAAAAGTATTCACATTGGACCTTATTGTTAAAAACAGTATTCAACAGTTTTGGGATACCGTTTATCATAGAATAAATGCAATGTTTGTTCACAATATTTAGTAGGGTTAAAGAAACGTCTTAATAAAAGATTGAAACGCAATACCGGAAATAGAGATTAGTTTCTTTTGGACAAGTTCTTCAAATGGTGAGAGATCTCGACATTTATGACATGCGAAATCTTGGATATTGTGCTATAGATATGAAATGAGCAATACTAGGACATCTTAATAAAATGGAATGTCTGTTATACTTACTAATACTTATTAGTACTGTTAAGTATGAACTGTCTTCGGGACAAATGCGATTTTATCAAATGTTAAAATTTATTCTTAAATGTTTTTTTAGGTATTCATATATTATTTGTTAAAATATATTTTGTGATATCTTCAGTGATGAGAGTAGAGCGTTTAATCTTTTAATCTCAAATAATATTTATTTTACAAGAGGGTTAAATTGACCATTATGGGCGAATTAGTTGTTTATTTACGAGCGTTTTACTGCGAGTGAATTAACAACTAACGAGCACTTAATGGCCTATTACGCACGTGTAATATACGTTTTGCATTCCAATCACCTTTTTAAGATTTCGACTTTTTTAGCAGTGCCTACGGCATTTAATAAATTGGCAACGGCGATATGTGATCTGAATATTGGGTTCGGCGATAGCATTAGTTATATGCTGCATTTGTATTGAGTATTAATTGAAATAGGAATCGGATGAAACGCTGTGGTGATGAATGAAGAAATGCTCGAACGTATTAGAATTGAAAACACTAACACTGAGGAGGAAGAACAAGTAAGAGTTTTTCAGACGAACATTCGACGTTTTCTGCCGCACAATTACATAACTTTCTCTCCTTACAGAGAAATTCGTAAGGTGAGAAATCAAAAAGAGAAAAGAATGAAATAGAAGAAGACAAAATAGCAGAAGAACAAGAGAGAAGGAAGAAAGAAAGGCAAGAGACAAAAAAGAATCTACTTTGTATCCACCGTATTGCTTTCCAAACTGTTGCTAAGCAACTTTTACTACATTGCATATAATAATGTCCAATTCTACTCACTCCAAACGCATAAGTAAGCATATAAAGGCTATCAGATAAGATGAAAGAATTATATAATATATGGCACGCGCCGATCAAATGACCGAGATCGCTAAACCAGTAGTGCCATAGCGGTCTCGGGCCAGAAAATCACGGGTTCGAGTCTCGCCTCGGGCATGGTTGTATGTCTGTATGTGTGTGCCGTCCTTTCACCCCTCCCTATCATCATCATCATTTCAACTTCCATACCACTAGGGCTAACAACCTTGGGAGATAAATATTGGATCTAGCTAAACGCTGATACCCGCAAATAAAGTTACATGAATCTGCTACCGAGATAAGGGTACTGAGCCCCGGTAAATGCAGGGTGCATGCACGCGTGATCTAAGTCGGCCTATATGCGAGAAAATAATATATGTCATGCAAACTGTTTACAATTAGATAATTAATTCATTAGAAAATATAATAATAATTGACCGTTATAAATATACCACCTGCAAAGGGAAACTATTACACATCGTTTTATAGCAAATTGGAAAGCGTTTCTCATAAGCATGTACCTGATTAATTGCCGCGGCAGCAAGCTCATACTCGGATCCACATAGAAGAGGTCCCAATACGTGCTGTGTTGATCGTTTCGGTAGGCGTTCTTCGTGCCAGTCAACAGAATCGTCATCTGTTATTTCTCTCCACGCTAGAATAAATCCCTTCAGCACACTCGCGGACGTTTGACGTGTGACAGTCCATCTGATTGTAAGATTTGTGGAGCCTGCATCCACGACAGAAAGGGAAGGCGGTGGAGGAGGAACTGAAAAAAAACAATATGCATACAATAATATTCACAGTTATTAAACATATAATGAGCTTTATTATCTTTTGAAAAGCTTCACTCTAAAATAATTTTCTAACATCACTAAAAATTTGTGTAGAAAATGTCACGAATAGACAGTTCATGATAACACTCTGTGGATCTCCATGTATGCCGAGCATATCAAGGAATTTCCACTTTCAAGTAGTCTGCTTCAAAGATAAATAATTCCCCCCTTAAACGTTCATCACGCTATACAACAACAAAATTCAATAAAAAAACAATGAAGCCAGTTTTCTTCTCAAAATTTTGAAAAGTTTCCCAGGGCCTTCATGTTAAGTCCCCCTCCCCAAAATTGAAATCACTGTTTCAAATTTAAGAGGATTCGACATCAGCCAGATCGATTGAGATGTATTCATTTTAGAGAAAATCGGCTGAACGGTTTAGCCGCTAGCTTATTCACATGCGAACGGACAGACAAACGTTTTACCGTCATTTGATTTTTAGGTACCAAGGACTCGTAAAACATGGATTCTGACTTCACCTCGTGATTGAGGATTGTTTTAATAATTTTAGCAACTGTTCTTTTTCGTTACAAGGTCCCTGTAATAAGAGGTTTACCGCCGAAAGTTCGCCGTTGTTTCGCGCAGCTTACATAACTTTCTCTCTACTACGTAAGTAGTAGCGATGAAGTCCAAAGGGACTGAAAATGTAAAGTAATGAAACCGTTTCATTGTTGTTGTTTTTCTTTCGAGATGCTGGGTATCTCACGAAACTATCGACACCTCTCACGTGCCCATAGTCCGCTTAATTATCTGTTTCTGCGCGCCCACGAAATCAGCCATGCAGATGATGGGAAGGTGGCGCTAAGACTCACCGAGCACGACGAGGCGGTGCTCGACGCTGACGTTCCTGTGGACGTTCTCGCAGCGGCAGGCGTAGGCGCCCTCGTCGGCGGGGGCGACGGAGGCGATGCGG